GCAGGGGGAGCGGCAGAGGGAGCGGGAGAAGCAGGCTCCCTGCTGAGCAGGGAGCCCGATGCGGGGCTCGATCCCAGGACCCTGGGATCATGACCAGAGCCGAAGGCAGATGCTTAACTACTGAGCCACCCAGACGCCCCTAAGATTTTATTTTTTAAGTAATCTCTACATCCAAATGGGGCTCAAACTTACAACCCTGAGATCAAGAGTCACATGCTCTACTGAACGAGCCAGGCAGGTACCCCTGGTTTTAATTTTTCTTCAGGTTTCTCGGCTTGCTTTCCCTCCTATTTTTCTTTTATAAGTAGGCTGTCCATATTGTGCAGAGGTTAAGAAGCTCCAATTGGAAAACTTGGGTTCAAATCTTGGCCCTGCCATTTATTAGCCCCTTGACGTTGGGTAAGTTTCTAATGGTTTATCTTTTGTAAAATCGTGATGAGGTTATTTCGCCATGAAATGAGATAATCCTTGAAAAGTGCTGGGATAATATGGTAAGCACAAAATAAGTTGCCATGATTTAAGTACTGTACTTTCTGAACGCAAAACTAAAAATATCTCCCGAATGGAAGAATTCTTTCTATGATAATTTACTGTAAGTTTAAAGGCTGTTTGGTACTAACCTGGTATTTTTCTGGGTCCCCACATTCAAGAATTGGGAATTCTGGATATTCATACTTTTTTTTAGATTCAGCAAATATCAATTCACTAATGATGTGGAGAATCCAATTTGAACCTCTAAGAAAAATCAAAGAATCAAAGCTCATTAAGGAGTCTTGATATAGCAAAGGCATGTTACTTTCACATATATATCATAAAAATTAAAACCTACAGCCATCCTGTGGTATGTACAATGTACACTTGAAATAAACTGGGCTATAAAAGAAACAGTTTTGTGGAAACAGCACTTCTTACGTTAGTACAAAATTCAAGTTACTTTATTTTTCAGATTTTTCCTTTAACAAGTGGCAATATTTCTTGAATCTATCATATGTCCCTTACAGAACAATGTTATGTTATAGAAATGATTTTTTATTATATATCATGTATTATTTTCCCTTATGTTAATGAATATTTTCTATAGGAGTATTATAATTTTGATTTTATTAAAACCCAGCATCAATTAACAGAAAAATATCAAATGAAGATGGCTTTAATAAACACTTAGAGATGAAATACCAGTTAAAAAAAATCAAAAGTAGATTGTGAGATTTTATGAAATAGGAGAATTTAGATTCTCAATGTCTCATCCTCCATTGATGAATGTAAACCATGTAAAACTGGTTTGTAAAACTAAAGGATTGATGATGTTTGATCCTGAAAAATAATCTCTTATGTGGAAATCATCACATGCATTATAGACATGGGCATGCTTTTGTCTTTAGTCAAGAATCAAGATGAAAATCTTTACTGCTCTCAGTGCTTGATAGCAAATGGACTCTCGTGCATTCATCTTTCTGGTAGCCTGCCCCACTATGAATCTTTTCTGCATCCATCATCCAGCAGACCTCCTCCCTCAGACACCGAGGTTTCTAAATCTAGCAGTTCTAGTTATTGATTTCATAAGTTATGCTCTTAACCATCTTTTTCTTTTTTTAAGATTTTATTTATTTATTTGACAGAGAGAGACACAGCGAGAGAGGGAACACAAGCAGTAGGAGAGGGAGAAGCAGGCTCCCCGCTGAGCAAGGAGCCCGCCGATTCGGGGCTCAATCCCAGGACCCTGGGATCATGACCTGAGCCGAAGGCAGATGCTTAACGACTGAGCCACCCAGGC